CCTGTCATATCTATATTTGAATTTCCAAAGAGAAATATACGTTGGCCTAAATTTAACTTTATGTTGCATTGTTGTTTCTAAGTATTTTTTAGTTTAATCTACATAATAACTTTGCTTTGAACAAAATAATACATTCTCTCAATATATCAAGTTAACACATTTAAACTTAGATCTATTTTTACCTATTTGGTTAAGTATAAATACACTTAACAATGCGTTCTACAAGAGGTACGGACCGTTGAGGAATAAGTGAAAATGATTTTCAATGTAATTCGTCTTTCAGTCTACTGTACTGTCATTCATGTCGTCCAGTCGGTCGTGAATGTCTGTGTGTGTGAGAGCATCGTGTAGTACATAATGAACGCAGGCCACTAGTCTCTGCGCAGACTGTATGAGCCCTTATAGGAGCTCCCCCCTAGATCGGTGAAAACGAAAACCGATCGAACTAAAAACAAAGAACACGGAAAACTTACTATGAACTATAAAGCCAAATACAAAATGAAAACTCGTGAAGCGAGAAATGGCTTAATCAAGTGAAAAATCCGCCAAGTTAGCACGCCACCTAACACGTCGTCCCCGGCGTGTCTGCCGCTAAGGTACAGACATGGGTACTGCCGGAGAGGCGGTCATGTGAGGTAGGGGCGTACTTGTCTCGAAGTCAGTATCTAAATAGGCTGCTTTAAGACGATCTATACTGACGGTGTCGCCGCGCTTCAAAACTGGAAATGGACGGCGATAGGAGGGCTACAGTGGCGTACGTACCCGGTCAACCCGGACGAAAACATGGGAGCAAGAAGACAAGTCAATATGCAACTGCGAGGGCCGCCGGTGGACCCTTGTAGGAGTACATGCAACATGCTGGAAAATCTGCTTAACTCTGTCAGCATAATCGGCAGGATTCAAGTCATCCGAAGGTGGAGAAGGCGAAAAAAACTCTCTAGGTAAAGCTAACGAAGCACCATACATAAGCTCAGCTTGTGAGCAACCTAAATCTTTCTTAATGATAGTACGAACACCAAGCATGACTAAAGGTAGGGACTCTGTCCACTTAACTGCGTCTTGGGCCTTTAATGACACCTTCAACTGACTGTGGAACCGCTCCACTTATCCATTGGCTATGGCGTGATAAGCGGAGGTGCGTATGCGCCGAGTTCCTAACAAACCAACTAAAGAATTAAATAAAGCAGATTCGAACTGCCTACCTCGATCGGTAGTAAGTTTTGATGGAACACCAAACCGTGAAACCCAAGTGGAAACAAAAGCTTTAGCAACCGTCTCGGCTGTAATATTGGTGATGGGAACCGCTTTCGGTCATCTGGTGAAACGATGGATGAATGTTAGAAGATTTGTAAAGCTCTCTGAAGAGGGAAGGGGTCCGACAAGATCGATATAGACATGGTCAAACCTAACGTCTGGGGAACTGAATGTACCTAAAGGGGTTATGGAATGTCGATGCACCTTACATCTCTGCCACTACTGCAAGCATGATTTTGCCGACTGACGGACATCTTTGTTCATACCAGGCCGTAACGTAACGGTTACTAACTAATTTCAGGGTAGCCCGAACACCGAGATGGGACAATGAATGTAATGCATTAAAAACAGTGCGACGCATACTCTTAAAGACAAAAGGGCGAGGGTGTCCTGTAGGCATGTCACACACAATTGTACTCTCACCTGGAGGCGACCAAACTCCATCGACCAGCTGTTGAAGAGCACCACCTACTGCAAAATCCGATGCATCAACTACTAAGCAGAGACCAACGTCTGCCCGAGGGTGAAACAAGAGGGTTGCCGTAGACAATGCTGCCTTTATGGCATGAAAAGCAGTCCTAGCGTCAGGGGGTAGCTGCACCTTCCGTTTAGGATGCCCTTTAAGCAAATCGGTTCATGGGCGTATAAGCTCGGCATAGTGGGGAACGAACCGACGGTAATAATTGATTAACCCTAGGAACTCTCGAAGCTGTTTAACCGTGTAAGGAATTAGGAAATTTTCGATAGCTTCTACCTTACTATGAAAGGGACGAATACCAGCTGAGCTTACTGAATGTTGAAGAATTCCAGGTCAGGAACACCAAGTACGCTTTTCGATGGTTTTACTATTAAACCAAAATCGTCGAGCAGTGTAAACAACTGACGGAGGTGACTCTCGTGCTCAGCCGGGGTTCGAATGGCGACCAACAAATCATCTAAATAGGCGTAAATAAAATCCAGCCCTTGCACAACACTGTTAATAAACCGTTGGAAAGATTGCGCAGCCACTAACTAAATCTATTTTTGAAAATATCGTGCACCCATGCAGGGAGCATATGAAATCGTTGACATGTGGAATTGGGTACCTATCAGGAATAGTGATATTATTCAGAGCTCTATAATCGCCACAAGGCCCCCAATCTCTAGATGTACCCTTAGGTACCATATGAAGGGGCGACGACCAGCTACTATTTGACTGACGAACAATGCCTAATTGGAGTAGATGCTCAAACTCTACACGAGCAAATTTCAATTTGCCAGGGGCAAGGCGGCGTGACCTACAATACAGAGGAGGAGAAGTAGTTCATATGCGATGAATAACGTCATGTTTAATAGCTATATCCTTAAATCGTGGGCTGGTGAGGGCAGGAAACTCGCATAAAATACTATGAAGTGGCGAAAGCAATTCGGCTTCACAAAAACATGACAAAGAGAGCGAAAAGGGGATGACATACCATTAACACTCAAATGCATGGTACCATCCCAAAGTTTGCGCTGCCTAAGATCAACAATGAGGTTAAAGTGTTGGAGGAAATCGGCACCCAGTATTGCAGCTGGCACGTCGGCAATAACGAAAATCCATCGAAATGTACGTCTCAAACCCAAATCAAGGGTCAAAGAGCGATCATCATAAGTAGGTATGTCAGAGTTATTGACCGCCTGGAGCACAAAATCCTACGTAGCTTATCTTGTCAGGAAGAAGGAAAAAAAACTCACCTCAGCACCCGTATCAACTAAAAATTTAAATCCAGGCGATTTGTCAAAAACATGAAATAGGCGACTTTCCTCCAAAATGCCAGTCGAAGTCGACGCATCTATTTGCTGGCCTTGGCGTTTCCCGAAGGCTTGAATGAGCTGGGGGAACGGCAGCTGTGCGCAGCTTCACCAAAGCGACCATGATACCAACAAAGGTCATGTACCGTACGTGGGGGTGTAGTACGGGATTGTCGTTAAAGTTAGTTTACTCACTTACTCACGCAGTTGCTCAATTTCAGAGAGGCCTTCAACCGGGTATACACGACAGGAACTAGGGCGTGGGGCCGAAACTGGTGCAACCATTTTTATTAGCCCTCTGGACCCAACATATATAAAAGAACACCACAAGTCTTCCTTCCTTCCTCACCATAGTCCTCGCTCTTTCGGATCTTCAATTTCCATTGGTTCTTCTCCACACCCCTCACCCACACACCTTCCGGCAAAATTATGGATCTGCCACTGACAGTTAACTGAATTACACCGAAAGTATTGAAGAGTTATAATCTAATTAACTTGGATGTAATCAGCTGGTGTTTTCACTATTATTACGTATTTTGTTGCTATAATTGCTATGTAAATTCACTACATTCACAGATATTGCTCCTAGACACTATGAAAATGTATCTACGGTAAGTTCTTTTATTCGTTTTGTCATGGTGAGTTAATGTTAATATTATAAATACACATGAGCACCTGATCAATACATAACTATAAATCGCCCATAAGGCGTTGTAAAACGTAGCTTATTAATAATTCAAGCACTAAATAATACACATAAACAAACCAGTGCAACCTCACAAATCATACAGAAGATAACATCAAACAAAGGTTTAGATTCGATGCAAGGAAAGGATGCACATTTATAATGCATGTCATTAAATTAACCTGCTACCCAGACCTAAATTAGGTCAGGCAATAACAACAAGGGGAACTAGGCACTCTCTGCAAAAAATAAAAACGAGTTGGATTATTAAACAAACATCGTATTTTCATCAAATCACCAGCATCCTTGTTGTTATCTGTGCATTTGTTATTGTATAATATGGCGTCGTAAAAATTAAATCAGAGAGCCTTTATTTTCGCCATCGTTAAGGAAAAAAATGTGTTTACATCAGTTTGAAACTTTTTTAGCCGGTTACAATGGCGTTCTATGTGTTAAGTAAGATGGAAGTACACTAATTAAAGGCCTTCACCTTTAACAATTGAATGATGCATTTTAACGGCGAAAAACAACTTAGTTTTTCGGACATTTCTAATGCAGAGACTTTCACAAAGTTGATAAAATATATTTTTTATTGTCGAAAATAACAACATAGCATGATGTATAGATCTATTATGAAGCTTAGTTTAATGCAATGTTGATTTTAATGATTTCCGAATTTGGTTTTGCTAGAATATTCAATCACTAGCACGTATCATCGGCTCTGAAGTCAAAAATGTGTCCCAGCTGTCTGAATTCTATGTTAAAAACGTGCAACTGTCGGGTATCATTGGGAAAGGAGAAGAATATCATTTGTATTTTAATCTATCAGAGATATCGGAAGTTATCAAAAGGTAAATACGTTTTAGGACTATAAATTTAATATCAGAATAAATGTCGCCCCTTAAATAGTTGATACTTTAATTGTAAGGACAATAAGTAAAAGTAACGTATAATATCTATCTGTTTTTATACATTTCTGTAGATTTTCTGATAGCATTATTGCTTGTGGCAACAATAGTGTTGCAATTTTCAAAGAGCTGTGGAATTACTTAAACAAACGCCGTTTTGAACCACTGGTGGAGTATAAGGTCCATACTATCTTTCAAATGAACATGCTTGCATTTCAAAGGTGTGTATATTATGTAGGTTATTAAATATTAATTTTTAAAATTGTTAGGATTTTAAAATGTTTGTTACTGATTACAAGTCTTAGAATTGTGATGTAATACTCTGGTCTTATTTAACATTTAAATTTTATTCCTTTGCTATCTTTCTAGATTGTATTATATACATTTATAAATTATTCTCTCTTTTTTAATTTATAGAAAACATCGAACATTATTCAAACGGATTGTAGAAAATCTAAAGCAAAAAACTCAACACAGTAAACATTGTATTTCTGAGATCGATTTGCAATCAAGACTCAGTAGACTATCTGAATGGTTAGGGAAATTGTACAACACATTCAGGGTAAGAGCTATTTTACAAATTAGTGGCTGTTAATCAAGCAGAAGAATAAATTAAACATTTAATAAGTTTATTATCTTTTAAAACAGTAAAATAATAGTCCGTAAATAAATCTATACCGCTATTATTTATTAATTCCCCGATCAAATCCGAGATCATCGTGTCTAAACATAGATTTACCCCTTAGTATCGCATATTTTCAAAATGAATGTTGACACGTTTATTAATTATCCTGTTTAATACCGTATTGTGCCACGAATTGTTGTTATTGTTACTAATTCATTTTTTTAAATACGTAAAACGAGAAAATGAATTTGGGTTCTATAAAATAATGGGCTTACTGTATTTTATTAGCATAATGTACAATCACACATGTTTATAAATGAAAATAAACGATTCACTAAACTAAGTTCTGTAGCTTGGGAAGCCATGAACGTGATTGTAATTTTTATTATACCTTCTTTTTTTCACGAAAATCTCACGTTTCCTGTCTACTTTGATATTAATTGCGGAGGCCTTTTCTACGGAAGCCCGTTAGTGCCACCAGTATATTAAAACTTCAGATCCGTTAACTGGCGAGATAATTAACCGGCGAGAAAATTAAGTGGCGTCCACCAGATAATTAAGTGGCGGCCGCCAGATATTTATGTGGCGGCCGCCAGATAATAAGTGGCGCCGCCAGATAATTAAGTGGCGGTCGCCACTTAATTATGTGGCGGACTCCACTAATTTACCCGGTCGGCCGCCAGTTAACGGATCGGAAATCTTAATTCACTGGTGGCACTAACGGACTTCCGTAGAAATCCAACTTTTATTCCAAATTCAAAATCTTTTCTTCATGTTTTCTTTTTTCATTTCACATTATCATAATGCCTTTATATAAATTTGTTTTTCCCTTTTTTATTGATTCAAAGTGCGTTATCACAATAATATAAATTTTTAAAAATAACAGTGGAGTACAACTTGGATGAAACATCATTGAGAAAAACAATTCTAGTGTAATGAACGCTTTTCCTTCTTAAAATTTAGTTTTGTTGTTTTCTTTCCTTTTGTGTGGGGAGTTTCATTTTATTTTAAATTAAAATATAATTTTTCATCATTTTTTTTTTCATTTTCACATTATTTATATTACCATCTCAATTCATATAAATCACAAAAAAATTTTTCTCATTTGCTATCACCTTAATATACAGTTGACACAATTTCCTAAAAATAATCATAACAACAATAATATTAAAACAATACAAATAGTAATAAAAATAATTATAGTTGATATTACGATCATTACTACTACCACGCTACTATCAGTAATCATTATTTATTAGGCCTATTTTTAATTTGTTCACTCATTCATTTTTTTTATATATTTTCATTTTCACATTTCATTTTATCATCTCTATTCATATAAATCACAATACTTTTTCTTATTTCTTATCACATTAATATATATAATTTAAGTAACATTGGCATTATTATGGCTAACGCGCCTCAATACAATAAACATTTTTTTTTTCATACCAGTATTACTTAAAAAACAAGAGTAAAGTAATTAACAATACCTACAGAATTATTATTTAATTTTCATTTAATATAACTATTTTAAGTAACATTGGCATGATGGTGGGCCAGAAGTGTTACCAACTTGTGCATCATTTGCAGAGTAAAAGAATGTTATTACTAGGGCAGTGACTACCCTGGATGCTGCCCTCTGTATGGCCTACAATTTTGTTCAGTAAGAACACCAAATCATCGTTGTTTGCTGACTTTAAAATGATCTTATAATACTCAATCCTTGATGACATATTACTGTTACATCCTGATGTTACAAGTTACATCCTGATGATATGAATTTTAAAAATAGCAAAATATGCCATAGACTAACATAACATTCAACAGAGTTATGTTTACTTGTGTTGTGCACGCCGATTACATTAATCAGCTTGAATGTCCTGATGATACCACATAGGTTTGCTATGCACTCCAACAACTCTACTTTGAACTGGGGCAAACACATCTAGAGAATGGATAATGGCAGACACATAAACAGATAGAACATCATCACCCGATAATTCAGGCATATCAATAACCAGACAGAAATGTCTAATTCTAAAAAGCTTTACTTCAGCACAACCGACACATTGATTAGAGTAAAGATTTTCGTCAACGTCCATGATACCTAAAAAATGTCAGCAACCTTTTGTCGTGTTCGTGAAGGGTAAAGAATATCCCCGTAATCATGGGTAAGAACTGTAATGACGTAAAAAAAAAGCTATAGAATGCAAGATTCTAACAGCTTGTGAGACGTTGGACTTATTAGTATTGTCAAGGTTTAATCTCCTAAACCTAATATTTTCCAGGAGCCAATTAACGGACCAAATAAAATTCACTGAAGAACTTTGCAGTACAAAATTGATTCATAGAAGATGGAGGGGGTCGATAAACAATTGTAAAGTAAAATGACCGGGAAATATTTGAGACAATTGCAATTTTAAAAGTTGTTATGCTCCTAAAGAAATCAATTATTAACCTGCCCAGTTTTAAAATTTTCCGTACACTAATATACCATCGTGGTGATTAATTTGTATAAGAATCTCAAGTAGTTCAGCGGCCGGGAACCGAAAATGTGCATCCCCTGCTTTAGCTGTTGTCATTTTTTTAGTTACCTTTATGTCTAAGCTTCAAAGAATGCCTTGTTACCTAAGCGATTTGAAAGGAAAAAAAAAATACTACTCTACATTTAATTTCATTAAATGTTACAGGTTTGAAAAATAATAATTAAAAAAAGAAAATGTTTAAATGGTTAGAGGAACAGACATTTTTCTGTTACAAGAAACGCGTTTTAACAAAAAGTCAGTTAAAAATTGGCCATTAGCATAATATTAATGTTCTTAGTCATTTTGTAAAATAATCTATAAGGTGTTTCCACGAAACTCGCACATGTCACAAGTTAACATTTTGGGACACAAAATAAGTTGTCAGGTCAAATGCAATAACTAAAATGGTGAAATAACTAAAAAAAATGATGTTAAGATCATATTGGACATTGCTTATCAACTTACACGTACACTTAAAAATCAACAATATAAACTCTGTATTTTCTTGGAACTCTTGAATAAAATTTGAAATCGACTCAGGAATACTTAATTCTCAAGACTGTGTGACTAAAGATCAACTAAAAAATTACAGATTTGAGAACAACTAAACGCAGATTAATGCTGTTTTTGAGCCAAGCCAACCATCAAAATTCGATGCTTTATCAACACGCCAAAAATGAACAGTAAAAGGGATCGGTAAGACCTTTTGTTTACCCTAACAACGGGCCAAGTTGGCTGTTGAATAGTACATGCTCCAGTGAACAGTGTTTGTCAAGCCTTGGTTCTAGTAAAACCGTAAGTTGCTATGGCTATAATCAAAGATCAAAGCAAGAACATGAAACCCGTCCTTGTAAAAGACGATGAAACTAGAGGGGAAAAAAAGATTTCCTAAAAAAAAGGTGTTTTACTTTGCAATAAACGATGTCATCAACTGTGACCATCTAACAGGAGCCGAGAAAGTAAAAAAAAAAAACCTTTGGAGAATATATATTGACGACCACAATGAACGAGTCAAAGTAATATCGTCAGGATTGAACATAAACTGAAAACTCATTAATGTGTATGACATTAACCCATACCTTATCGGGAATGGATATGAAACAAGAATTTTGGTAAAAGACGTGCCTTTGTCTGTACGAAATGAAGAAATCACGGACTGGTTAAAAAAGATAGGCTGTAAGATAGGCTCTTTCACAAAGACCAGAAAGTAGAAATGACATGTTTCGAATGTGGATTAACAGGCCACAAAATGAATGAATGCCCAATGAAGCTGAAACGCACAATATGTCACACGTGTATTAAAACCGGTCATCTAGCAAATAACTGCAACGAAAACACACCTAAGCAAACGGTGGGGACAGAAAATACTTCTAAACGAAATGAAACATGTAATAATCAAAACGAATCTGTAGAAATTGAAATTGGAGGGGACAAGAATGCTAGCAGAACTTGTGACCAGTCATTTAGAAGAGCAAACTAAAGAAGCAGCAAGCGATGACGCACAAAACGTCATTGGCATCCTTGAAGAATTACTTAATAAACCTGCTAATTCAGGAACCGATCCACACTCTTTCGAACTGGATAAATAGGTACAACAGACAATGACAGACGCAATCGATAAAGTAAAATTAGCCATTTAGCATTAGTTCAAAAGAAAAAAAGAAGTTAAAACAACGCAAAAAAAAAAAAAAAAACAAACAAAAAAACAAGAAGCAAAAATAAAGAGACAAGCACGAGAAAACAGAAAAAGCCATTAAAGGGATGAGACCAATTACTGACTTCGTCACCGCAGATAAGCTAGAAAAATTCACAAATAATAACGCTGATACTGCCACATCTGCCCGACACTCATTTGGTGAATCCAAAAGGGGAAAATACTTACAAAAAGGGAAGAAAAACATGTAGAATAGAAGGAAAAGAAGTCGGATTCTGTAAGTTAGGCTTGTTTGTCCGCTCATTGGCCAACAAAAATACAATTTTTCATCGTTTTTTGTATATAAAATAAAAATGAAAATACCTAAAGAATTTAAAATGAAAGGAAAAAAAAAATACTACTCTACATTTAATTTCATTAAATGTTACAGGTTTGAAAAATAATAATTAAAAAAAGAAAATGTTTAAATGGTTAGAGGAACAGACATTTTTCTGTTACAAGAAACGCGTTTTAACAAAAAGTCAGTTATTTGTCTTAATAAGCTTTGGAGAGGAGAAGCACACCACAGCTTCGGGACAACTAACACTAGAAGAGTCTCGATACTGATTAAGTCATGTTGTGATACAAATGTTGATTGTAAATTTGTCGATGAAGAGAGTGGAATTTTAATCTTACGTTTACAGTATAATGGGAAAAAATTAAGCTAATTATTGTTTATGCACCAAACAACTATAAAGAAAGATCATTATTAAAAA